CAGCGGGGACCGGGACCTGCTCCCCGCCCGCAGCAGTGGGGTTGGGGGCCCGCAGCCCCGCGCTGCTGCTCTCCTTTTCCAGCGGGAGCCGAGATGCTGCTGGCCCGCAGCCGCCTGTCGCTGCTGCTCCTCGGGGCGCTCCTCACCTTCCTCCTGTACCTCCTCCTCCCGGCCGCCCGGCACGGGCAGCGCTCCCGGCCTGACGAGGGGAAGCGGGGCCGGCGGGCGGCCAACGGCACGGCGAGGACGAGGATGGCTGCGGGAGAGCCCCCCGTCTTCTACAGGGAGGTTCCCGCAGGAACTGCCGGCCCCGGGAGGTGGGTCAGCCCAGCCTCGGGTCTGTCATCACCAGCCCTTGTGGCCGCTGGACGCTGCAGGCATGGCATCGTCCCTGAACCCTCTCCCGCCTGTCTTCCCCCTCGCAGGCCTGATGTCCTGTTCCTGCACGGCCAGGCGTTCACCTCCAAGACGTGGGAGGCCTTGGGCACGCTGGCGCTGCTTGCTGGAGAAGGCTACCGTGCAGTCGCAATAGATCTGCCTGGTAGGACCATGGCACTGTGTTTAGTTGATCCCTCTGGGCAGCTCCAGCCCCTGGCATCAGCTGGGCTCTGGAGCTCTTTGGAGAGAGGGCTCTGGATAGCTAGACACGATCCCTGGGGCAGTGTGCCTGGCATTTGGCTCTGCCCTGGAGCGTTGATCTCCATCACGTGGTGAGGCTGATGTGAGGCTTGGGCTGTACAGCCTCTGGGGCTTGATCAGGTGCCCATTTTTTGCCAAGCCATTGAACTTGGTGGGGAGAGAGCAGTGGAGACTGCACAGTGCCCCCTGCCCACCCTGTGCCCTCTTCCCCATGCCAGGCTACGGGGATTCGCCCCGAGTGGAGACGGTAGTGACGGCACAGGGCAGAGTGGCTTTCCTGGACCGTGTTCTCCAGGAGCTGGGCATGCGGAGGCCCGTTCTTGTGAGCCCCTCCATGAGTGGACGCTTTTCCCTGCCCTTCCTGCTGGAGCACGGGGACTGGCTGTCCGGCTTCGTGCCCATTGCGCCCGTGGGCACCAAGGACTACACTGCTGAGCAGTACCGGCGGGTCCAGGTGAGCTGTGTCATTGGGCTCCTGGGGGGCTCCCCTGGGTGCTGCTGAGCCTCTGGCTGTAGGGAGGCATGGAGGGTGGCCCTGTTTAGGGGTGAGTGAAGGGGACCTGTGCCCTCCAGCTCATGGAGGAGCTGGCACCTGCCTCCCCTTGGCTTTGCAGCCCCCTGGTGATGCATGGAGGTGGGCACAGCCGAGGGGAAGCGCAGTGGCCTTTTACCCCTCTGACAACCGTTCTGCTTTTCTCTCTCTCCCAAGACGCCCACTCTGATCCTGTACGGTGACCGTGACACAGGCCTGGCTCCCCAGGCCCTGCAGAACCTCCAGCACCTCCCTGAGCACCATGTAGTTGTCCTGTCTGGTGCTGGCCATGCCTGCTACCTGGACAAGCCTGAGGACTTCCACCGGGCCCTGCTGGGCTTCCTGCGCCAGCTGAAGTGAGCACCGCTTCCTCCCTGCCGAGCAGAGGACAGGGGCTGAGGCATCCAAGGGCCTGGGAGGCACCTACAGCTGGTGTGAGGGGTGCTGCTCCCTGTTGGGGTGTCCCCAGAGTGGCGGGGCTGGGGACTCGAGGTGTCCCTCGCTGGCAGGACAGAGTGTCGCCTGTCACGAGGCCAATAAACTGATGCTGCTCTGTTTTCTGCGTGTGTCCCCAAGCGCCGCGGGGCTCCGCGGGGTTCCAGCCCCGTCTCTCTAGCGTGGGGCAGGAGGCTGCCCTGCGCCCTTTGCCTGTACCCCGCCCCTTGCCTGCCCGTCCTGCTCCCCCGCTCCTCCCCTGCCCGCCCCCTGCCCGCTGCCGCCGGCGGGGCGGAGCGGAGCGGGCGGAGCGGGGCCGGGCAGCGCCGGCGGCAGCAGCGCGGAGGTAGGGCCGGGGCGGCGGGAGGCCGAGGAGCGGGGTCGGGCAGCAGGAGCGCCCGGCAGCCCGCGGGTGGGTGCCCCGGTGCCTTCGCCCCCTTCAAGCCCGCGCCACGGTACCCTGCAACCCCTCCTTGCACCCCTCCGCTACCCCCCTGCACCCGCCTACCACGGTGTTGTGCACCCCTCTGCCTTCTTGCCCGTGCTACCCCTGCACCCCTAACCATGATACGCTGCCCTCTACTTCACCCCCCCCAGCCCCCTTAACCACACTATCCCTGCATCCCTACCCACGGGACCCTGCACTCCCC